CTCAGCTCCGGCAGCGCCTCCTGCAAGCTCTCGGCCAGCACCACGTGCAGCGTGGCCGTGGCCGACAGCGCCGGCTCCCCGTGGTCCTTCACCACGGCCACCAGGCGCTGCTTGGCCGCGTCCCTCTCCGACACGGCCCGCGCCGTGCGCACCTCGCCGCTCTGCAGCCCCACGCGGAACAGCGCCGGCTCCGACGCCTGCACCAGCTCGTACGACAGCCACGCGTTGCGCCCCGCGTCCGCGTCCACCGCCACCACCTTGCCCACCAGGTACCCGGACGACGCCGAACGCGGCACCACCTCGAAAGCCGAACCCACCGAGCCCGGCGCCGCTCCCGACGCCGCCGGCGGGGGCGGGTAGAGCACCCGCGGCGCGTTGTCGTTCTGGTCGAGCACGAACACGCGCACCGTGGCCGTCGAGCTGCGCGCCGGCGACCCGCCGTCCTGCGCCCGCACGGCCACCGTGAACTCGCGGCACTGCTCGTAGTCCAACGAGCGCTGCGCGTACACCGCGCCGCTCCGCGCCTCCACCGACACCGGCGGCGCCGCGCCCAACGCGCCCGCGCTGCCGCCCGACAGCCAGTAGCTCACGCGCCCGTTCGCGCCCGAGTCCAAGTCCCGAGCGACAACGCGCAACACCAGCGCGCCCACCGGGTTGTTCTCCCGCACGTACGCGCTGTACGACGCCTCCTCGAACACCGGCGCGTTGTCGTTCACGTCCGACACCTCCAGCACCAGCTCCGTGCTGCTCCACAGCGCCGGCCTGCCCCGGTCCCGGGCCACCACCGTCACGCGGTGCTCGGACGCCTGCTCGCGGTCCAGCGCGCTCGCCGTCACCACCTTGAATGAGCCGCCCGACGACGCCACGATCGACAGCGGCGCCTCTCCCGACAGCTCGCACGACACCTCACCGTTCTCGCCGGAGTCGGGATCGCTCACTTTCAGCAGGGCAACTACGGTCCCTGCAGGTGCGTCTTCGGGCACTGGACTCGACACAGTCAGAATGGTGATCTCGGGTGCGTTGTCGTTCACGTCCAGCACCTCCACCTCCACCTTGCAGTGTGCCACCAGACCGCCTCCATCTCTTGCCTCCACAGGCAAGCTGAACGCTCGCGTGTTCTCGAAGTCCAGAGCCTCCTGCAGTGTGATTGTCCCGCTCTCCCTATCCACTACGAATTTCTGAAGCACTTTGGCCGGCATTTTGCCGAAATGATACGTGATATGAGCATTGGTGCCGGTGTCGGCGTCTGTGGCTGACACTTTCAATACCTCCGAACCCGGCAGTGCGTCCTCCCGGAGGCTCGTGCTGTACCGGTCCTGCGAGAATACGGGTGGGTTGTCGTTGGCATCTGTCACGTTGATCCGAACCTCAACAGTCCCAGTTCTCATGGGCTCCCCGCCATCCACTGCCGTCAGTAGCAGCTCAAAAGAGCTCTGCTTCTCCCGGTCCAACATTTTCTCCAGCACTAATTCAGGCTGCTTGCTTCCGTCCGGGCTCTCCTTCAAGGCCAGACTGAAGGACGGGTTGCTGGTGAGTCGGTAAGTCAGCAGCGAGTTGCTTCCCACGTCCTCGTCGTGAGCCATCTCCAGAGGAAAACGAGCAGCAGGAAGCGTCCATTCACCGATCTCAAGGTCCAGAGCAGCCTTGCTGAAGGACGGGGAATGGTCATTCACGTCTTCAATGGCCACCTCGACATGGAAGACGTTGAGCGGGTTGTGCACAAGCGCCTCGAAGCTGACGGAGCAGGACAACGACTCGCCGCACAGCTCCTCCCGGTCCAGCCTCTCGCTCACGTACAGGTTCCCGTTTGTCTCGCTCACCGTGAAGTATTGCTTGTCCGCGCTGAGCCGCAGCTTGCGCGCCGGCAGCTCGTCGGCGCTGAGCCCCAGGTCCCGGGCCAGCGGCCCCACCAGCGAGCCTCTGGGCAGCTCCTCGGCCATGGAGT